GGGGGGGGCGGAAGCCATTGAGGGCAATCATGAATGTCAGGGACAATGGAGGAGGAAGATGGGACATGGCAGAGGGTGGGGATGGGGAACCTAGGATGGCAAAACAAAAGGCAAGGTATGCAGGACACAAAAATTGGGAAATCATTTGCTGAGAACATATATGTTGATGTGCTTGATTGAGCCAATGCACAGTGTATTTTGGATGGAAAATTCATATGTGTGTTGTGATGAGAAAAGAAAAAAAAAATTTATAATAATAAAAAACTCTATAATGAAGAAAAAAAAAAAAAAAGAATTTAGTTCTACTATAGAATAAGAACTGCTCATTTATCAAACTAAACATCACTGCACAGAGAGTAAATTCTCTTAGGATTATTTTCCAGACTGATTCTGGCACAAAAAAACCCCTCAGAACTATTTCTTATAACTGAACATTTCTCTCTGAGAGAGAAAGACAAAGCACCAAAGAAAGGCTTCCTACTGGTTTTCACCCTGACCAAAGTCTGGTTTAGCTTCTATGTTTTATGCCTTATTCTAATCTGAGACCAAACTATTATACTTCTTACAGAAGATTATTCTGACTGGGAAAGGTATATTAAGATTCTCAGTAAATTTCTAAACTAAATGAAAGATAGATACACAGAGAAATAGGGATGGTACATAATTTAGTCTTTCTTCCAAGAGTTTCAGTATTAGCAGAATTAGCAGACTTCACATCTCCCTAATTCCATATTTATATTTTTCAACAGTGATCTTGCTAACTAGAATAAGGACATTTCTAATTCCTTTTATCTTTTTTGGAGAGGTTTTCGCTATAGGGCGCATGCGCTCGCCAGACAGACAGAGAGAGACATAGAGACAGAAAGCGAGAAATCACCCCCCCAGGGGGGATGGTCACGCCGCAATCCCTTCTCCTCCATTCTCCTCTCGGGATCTTGGGCATGCATGCACACGTGCCCGGCGTTGAGTTTTAAGCCACCGTGTCTGGGACGCAAACCGCGGTTGACTACATGGGAGTCCAGCGACATAGCCATTATGCTAACTGCTGGTTCTCAGGACATTTCTAATTCTTTAAAATGATTCATACTTTTACCTCAAGTTTCTTTGCTTTCTCAAGCACCTCCTAAAATTAAAAGTGCCCCAAAAGGCAATGATGAAGACAGAGTGGAAGTATGGTCCCAGCATAATCTTGGCTTTACATGATAGACTGACAAATGGGAAAGGCTATGAATCAGAGAACATCAAACCTCTTTGGAGGGACAGATTTGACCATTGCACAAATGTTTTTAGACTTTTTAGATAAGAAGTAGAAGTGACAATCATTAAGGTGGTTGATTCAGAATGGAAGAGCAACATGCAACTTGGTACAGGGAACCCTCACCCTCTGCTTTTGTTCTTCTGTACGGACGTCGCTCCGGACATTTGCCCACGGAATATCTTCAGGCCACCAGATGGGCTTGCAGCTCTCTTTCCCCCAGCCTGGTTTTCCCCGACCTGTGGAGTACTTGAGCATCTCTGGAATAAATGCCCGAAGTTGGGCCTGGGAGAGAAGAATACGGTCATCAGTACTCAGGAAAGACATTTGGGATGTGTTTTTGTCTTCTCCCAAAGTCTAAGGTTATAAAACACTGGCTTTCTGGAGAGTCCCAGAGAATTCCCGATATGACTGATGAAAAACTACTGTTTTCCACAAGTTACTCTAGCTCTACGGGCAATACAATTATACATATGCTGGCACAGTGCACCTTAAGCTGTGTTTTGTAGGTTTATTCTGAAAAGAACAAGAATATCTGCCCCCAAGTTTGGTTTCTGCCTCTTATGATACTACAAGTACTATAGTTATTTCCCTTCTACAGCTCCATTTACAGTGCAACAATCAAGGGGTTTTCAACATCATTCTGGTGGTAGTAATCAGTGCAATTACATAAGAGAGAAATAAGAGGTAAAGAGCAGGTACAATTACTATTACTTGCAGATGAAATGACTGTGTATCTGTAAAACCCTGGAGACTAAAATGAAAAAAAAAATACTATAAACAATAGAGAATTCAGACAGGTGGTTGATTATAAAATATAAAAATAGGTCTTTTACTTAATAAAAAAAGAAAATTAGCCCTAAAACTCTTGCAGAAAGTTTCTAGTTAAGCTAGGCCACTGTTCCTGAGCCTGACAGAGATATAGTGAAGCATGTATACATTTATTTTTTTAAAGTATTTTATTTAAATTTATTTATTTATTTGTGTGTGTATGTATGTATGTGTATGTGTGTATGTGTGTGTGTGTGTGTGTGTGTGTGTGTGTGTGTATATGTATATGTATATAACCAGAGAGGAACAGAGTGGGGGAGAGAGAGAAAGTAAGAAAGCAAGCTGCTAGGTCCAGGACTTGAACTGCAGTGAGCCATGTGGGAGTGCCCTTAACCACCACACCACCTGCCGGCCCCGCATGTGTGCTTTTAAATACATCATGGATCTCATTCGGATTTGGCTTACAAGTCAAATACAGACCAAACAGGTTTTAAACATAGCAACTACTACCATTCTTTTTTTCCTGGCATAGTAACCATACTCCGTGTGTATGCTGGAGGAAGAGGGGAGCTATTCTGTGAATTTTCTTAACCACTAATAATGATTTTTGGCAAGAAAAGCAGTTTATCAAGGTATAAATCTTCTAGATCTACTGTTTTCCTTTTAACTTGGTGGTCCACAGTACTCCAGAGAAAAACAGCATGACCCAACTAAGGACACAGCTTTCCTGCCTCTGCAGCTTAAACCCGAAAGAGAGGGCATTTTTCGCAATGAGTTAGACTCAAGGGCATGAATTTGTAGCTATAAAGAAAAGAAGAGGGACAGTAATGGGAATACTTAAGTATTAATGAGGGAATGAGTATGGCAATACTTTCATATTAAAGATCGTCTATAACATCAGGTGTTCTTAATAATTCTTCCTATTAAATAAGTATTAAAAACTATTTTACCAGAAGATGACATGAAGTGCTGCATTACAGGGAACCATGAACCCAAATCAGTGGTGTTTACCTTATACAGCAAGCTCTGGCCGACAGCACGGACACTGTTCATTCTCGTGCCAGGCCTGCCGCTCTACCTCACCTTCCAAGTCTCCCCCTCACAGACAGTCTCCTGCCTACAGGATATGATATAATACACTCCATATATCTTCGCTCTGCAGCATCAAGCAGCAGGCTAAAAGAAATGTATCCATTTGCAAACCCAGGCTATCAGCTGGCTCATGAGGTCATTCCTTCAGTTATTTTAAGAAAGTGCATTTCAAAGTCATTTTTCCTTCTATCCCGATTTCTTGGGAGTGTGTCTTTTTCCAGTGAGGTACACAGAACAGGAAAGAGTTTAATCTTTACCATATTTTACATTTCTTCAGGTTAAAAGAAAAAAGGCTTTTTTAGACGTGTGCTACCACAGACCTTTTACAATAATTTTCCCTTTATTTTAGTCCCACTAACAGTCTCCAACAAGGAGAGTTTTTTTATATCCATACCTAGGAGAGTGTGGAGGAAATGAAACGAGAAGACTAAATATGGCTACCTACGAGTGTTCAGAAAGAAGTCAGCGGGGAGAACACCAGGCTGACAGTCTGCAGATCCGCTGGCAGTCCATACTCGGCCTAACTCCAGAACTGCCCTGCTTCGGATCCCTCGGCCATTCCCACTCACAGTCCACTCCTTGGCGCTGGGTCACACTGGCACTTAGCAATGGATGACTTGCTAAGCCACTTCACTCTGGCTTTCTCTGGCTCTCCTCTATCAGCTTCCCAACCTTCATTACTCATGGGCTACCTGAGTGTGGGCACAGCACTGGCCTCCACACTTGACCCACTACCT